AGTCATGCAAATGCTGGCACCTCCTTTTCACACTGGTTATTTTATACCTTTTGAGTGATTCAGTTATTACTCCTTTGGGGTAGGGAGTTAGCCAGTTAGGTCTCCCCTTGTCTTTGTCCTTCTTGCTTATGTTAGTTTCCTTGTCTTGCTTATGTTAGTTTCCTTGTCTGGAATGTTCTCTTCATCTCCATTGCCTTGTTCATCTCTTGCATTCATTTCTTTCCCTATTTTATGGGAAACCTTCCCTGGATAAACACACGCTAGATGCTCCTTTCCCTTCAACATTTCTGGATAAAATTTACATCTCACGGAGTACTGTTTTATATTGTTCTAAAATCATATAGTATGAAGCTTTTTTTTTTTTAGATTTTATTAGTTTAGGATTGTTATGTCCTCTTGATGAATTACCCCTTTGCCATTATGAAATTTCCTTCCCTGGTAATATTCTTTATTCTGATTACTTTGATACTAATGTAGCCAATCTTGCTTGCTTTTGATTAGTATTAGTGTGGTATATATGTTTTATATGTCCCATTGTTTTGTTCCTTTTTCCCTGCCTTTAATTTTTTTTTTTTTAATGATTCCATTTTATCTCCTTTACTAACTTATTAGCTATAACTCTTTATTATTTTAGTGGTTGCTTTAGGGTTTATAGTATAGATCCTTAACTTATCATAGTCTGTCTTTCAAGTGATACTATAATATTTTACATACAATATAAACCCTTACAGAGTAGTTCCACTCTGAAGCACTGAGGTTTCCATGAGTCAGTCAACTCTACAGCTGTTGCTTTGGTTTGATTGTTTTGGTTTAATTTCCTTTCAGTACTTTAAAAATGTTTTCAGTCTTCTAACTTACTCTGTTTCCAACAAGAAATCTGTTATTCTTTGCTACTACTTTGTCATTTTCTTTCCTACTCTGTACATAATGAATCTTTCTACCTGCCCCTGTCCCCGGCTATTTTAAACATTTTTTTCTCTTTATCACTGGTTTGGCAATTTGATTATGGTGTGTTTTGGTCTTTATTGGGTCCTAGGGATGGTACTCCAAGAATAGAGGCAGAGAAGTATTGCTGAGAGAAAATCCCTGAGGTATGGAATTTAGCTGGAGAAGACTGAGGGAGGGCCAATAGAGCTGTGAGAAATTCCTTCCAGGCAGCCCCACCTTCTCAGAGTGTAGCACAGGCAGGACAAAGGTGGAGCAACGTGGGTGGAAGAGGTCTTCCAAGGCACAAAAAGTAGGGTGTAGGACTGGAGAACAAAAAATGCTCTCGAATTACCCAGAAAACTAACAGCAAGGGCTGTAAGCAAGGAAGAAAATTGTCACAGTTCAGAAAGCAGGCAGCTCAGCAGGTTTCTAGAACCTCACCAGGGCTCCAAACACAAGCCTTGCTGAAGGGAAAGTCTTGATCCTGTTGTAAAAAAAAAAGCTTGAAGCCAGTGGTGAAGGAAAACTAAAGTTGCAACAAAGCTCAGACCCAGTTCAGTTGTAGAGCATACTGACTCAGCTGCAGCATAAGGGGTGTGCTCCTTTCTGGGAATAAATATAATTTCCTTCAGTCTTGACTATACTTTTCTACAAAATGCCCAGTATACAGTCAAAGATCTTAAAACATATGAAAACAAGAATATGTGATTCATGGTCAAGAAAGAAAATAGTAGGAGACCCAGAAATGACTCACATATTGTATTATCCATCAGGGACTTTAAAATAACTGATAAAAAATTCAAAGGATCTCGTGGGGAAAGTGCACAGCATGTGTGAAGAGATGGGGAATGTTTACAGAGACATGGAAACTATTTTTTAAAATAACCAAAAGGAAATGCTAAAAATAAATATAATGTCAGAAATTAAGATCCTTTAGATGGGCTTAACAGAAATACCTGACCAGCTTTGGCCAGATTAGTGGGAGCAGTCTGTACTGTGGAAGGATGCCCTATGATTATACTAATCTATACTTACCTTAAACAGGAAGTGCGCAGTACTCACTGCACTGTTCGTAAGTCTGTAAACATGTCCTTTGATAGAACACATTTTATAAGGTCACATACCACTTGTTTACCTGGTCTTTTTTTAATATTTTATTTTTGTTATTGAAAATATGCACAGCAGAACATATACCAATCCTACAATTTTTACATGTCAGTTCAGTGACATTGATTACATTCTTCAAGTTGTACCACCATTCTGATCTTCCTTTTCCAAATTATTCCTCCCCCATTATAAACTCACTGCCCCCTATGTTTTCAATCTTACCTTTCAAGTTGCTGTTGTTATTTTGACCCCATATAGAGCTTTTTTTTTTTTTTTCATTATTATTATTTTTCATCTATACAGATAGTTCTTAAAAGAGCACAGTGCTCAAGGCAGACACTATTGGTTATGCTAAACTGTTGTTTGGTTTTAAGAAGACTTCAGGGATATTTTTGGTTTAAAGTTTAAAGAGTACCTCAGGGCAGTAGTTCTGAGGGTTCATTCAACCTCCATGGCTCCAGAAAATCTGGATTCCATGAGACTTTGAAATTCTGTTCTGCATTTTTTCCCTTTTGATCAGGATTCTTCTATAGATTCTTTAATTAGAATGTTTAGTAATGATAGCCAGGAACCATCCAGTTCTTCTGGTCTTACGGCAAAGGACCGTTGATTATGGAGGCACATTGCGTTTCTTCCTCCTATTCCTGGCTCACCTTCCCTTGTTGCTCCTGATGAATACAGACCAGTTGTTGTGCCTTGGATGGTTGCTTGCAAGCTTTTAAGACCCCAGGCACTACAGAATGAATTAGAAGATAGAACAGAGCACTGAACACAATATTAGGCCAGTTAACTGGGATGTCCCATGAAACAATGAGCCTAATCCCTGTTAGTTTCTTGAAGGAAAAAGATAATAATTGCCACTTCTCTGAATCCATGTATAGGCCTTCCCGGAGAACTTGAGTTTTTACCTGTCTTATAGAGAAACCCAAGGCAATCTTGATAGCCCATTCCCAGCCATGTGTGCGTACATATTACTTAGCTAGGTTGTGCTGTAGTTACATCATTATCCTCTTCCATTCCTTTCATGTTTTCAACCTTGTGTTGAATTAATGATAATAAACATATTTATTTTTTACATAAGAAAGAATAGGTTTCTAAATATTGTATTAGTCCATTATTGTAAAAAGTCAAGGAAAGGTTTATATATGGAAGGAAATTTTCTTTGTTGGCTACCAAGGGGGGGAGGGGAGGGGAGGGAACACTGCTAGGTAGGTAGAGACAAGTATTGATTTGGGTGAAGGGAAGGGCAATGCACCAAATGTGAGTGATGAGCACAGTGGCATTGAGGAAGATGAAGACATAGAGAGGTGCGTAGGAAGTAGAGACAACAAAGAGGAACCCTTTTGCACATATAGTACTATGTTGTCAGTGATAACAAACATTGATGTAAGGATGGATAAATGGGTGAACAGGCTGAATGATTAAGTATGTCTGTGTGTGTGTGGGGGGGGAGTGTGCCCATGACCATGTATAGGGTTGACAGACAGTGTTTCTACAAGTGTATTAGTATGTTCTGTAAGAATTTCCAGGTATATAGTAGAATTGACAAGGGACGAGGTTGTAGTCACTTCTTGGCCATAGCTAGCTGCCCAGAGGAAGCAAATAATTGGAACTATGGGCTCAAGACCATGGTCACAGAGTAAATCAAGCTCAACTGGCATAACATACTACATAAAACATTGTTCCACCTCCTACTTTGGCATGTAGCAACTGGGATTTTAAAAGCATGCAAGCAGCCATCTAGATGGGACTATGGGTCTTTCCTCGTCCAGAGCAAAGAATAATGAAGAAAACCAAAGATTCATGGAAACAATTAGTCCTAGTGACTGGTACACCATGTGATCCTCGGCCTATATGACTATGAGACCAGAAGAACTAGATGGTGCCCTGCTACCACTGTCAACCACTTGGAAGGGGATCCATGTAGGAGATCCTGGATAGAGAGGGAGAACAATGTGGAACAAAACTCAAAATCATTTGGAAAAAAAACAAAAAAGGGGACCAGGTTTGCTGGTCTGATATAGCCTGATGGAACCACTGAGACTATGGGCCCTAGCAGCCCCTTCAGGTCTGGAATTAAACCCACACCTTTGGCTTCCAGCCAAACAAAAGACAGGCATATGAGTTGAACATTGACCTAAGGTAGATACACTCCTTGGAGAGAACAGTTATGGGATAAAGAAGGGCTGTTTATGTACAGGAAGACAGCTCAGGGGGCAGGAGTGCATAGAGGGATGGACACAGGGAAGAAGTAACTATTGGGAGAAAGTGGGAGGGGAGCTGTTGCATTGTAATAAATTGTAGTCAATGGCATGAGACAAAGTGTATGTGAACTGCTGTATGGAAAGTGAATTTGCTTTGTAAACTTCCACCCAAATCACAATAAAATTTAAAAAAAAAGAATAGGTTTCTAAAGTGACTAGTTTCTTAAAAGGTGACCTTGTTAGTGTCCACTGAGGCTGAAAGGAATAGTTATCAAAAGTTTCAGAATACGACGAAGAATATATTGAAGTTTCTGAATCTGCATTTTTAGAATCTTTATTTCTTGTGCCATCCTCCAAGTGGCTGTTGCTTAAGTTTATTGCTTAAAAATAAGATTTTTTAAATCTCCTTAAAGTTTTATATAGTTTTTGTTTGTCTGTTTCTTCACCCATTCATTTATCATTCAGTATTTGTAGGGTTACTCATGTTTACGCTGAAAGAGCTAATTTTTGTTTCCACAGATGGGGAAATTACTCAGTTGATTTTTTTTTTTTCTTTTCACTTTGTACAACCAAAATAGTTGCCCTGGAGACTTAAATGCATATTGAAGATGGAATGAAATATTATAGATGTTAATCTTGACTTTTTCCTTCAACTCAATTGCATATACTTTTAATAATTGATGTTAGAAGGGTAAAATGGTGATGAGTTACAATGTCAGTAATAATTTCTTAGTAAAATTAACAAACTGCTTTATTTTACAGGGAAAATATTTATCCCTAAACAGAAACCTGTGCAAACATTTACAGAAGAGAAAGTATCTCTTGATCCAGAATTAGAAGAAGCTTTGACAAGTGCTTCTGATACAGAATTGTATGACCTTGCAGGTATCAAAACAAATTGATTCATGAGTGAGTGTGCACACATATATGTGCGTTATACAAATGGTATCCTTTGTCTCCAAACTCAAACCCACTGCCATGAGTTGATTCCAAACCCGACTCCCATTGGGTTTCTAAGGCTATATAAATCTTTAGGGAAGCAGATTGCCTCATCTTTCTTCCACAGAGCAGCTGGTGGGTCAAACCACCAACCTTTTGGTTAGCAGCCAATACCTTAACCACTACACCACCAGAGCTCCTGTCCTTTGTCTAGCAAAGTGCTATTGAATCAGTAACCACATATTTGGCTTTATTTTTTATGCTATGAATCTGATATAAAAGATGTAATTTCTTTAAATTTTCTTAATGGTGAAATTTTTCTATTGATAGTCTGTCTTGTGTTATTTGATATTCTGTCCCATTTTGTCATATTTGAAAGTCTTATAGAAATCTTTCATCAGCTAGTACTTAGCTAGAAGCTGTCCTGTCTGAGCACTAGAAAAGAGACTTTGGGGTCAACTGCTGCTCCATTTTATCAGCAGGTCTGAAGATGGGTGATTGCAAGACAAATGGCCCAGTCAGTCCCGAGCCATACTCACCACCTGCCCAACATTTCCAAAGTGAATATTGAGTACTCCTAACTTCCCTGTAGTTTTCCTCATTGGTGATTTCTTATCTGGATCAATATCCCCCTACTACCTGTACCCTAGATTGAAAAATTTGAAGCATAGAGTACTTTAGTACCAAATAACTGCAAGAACTAGTTAGTTTCAAAGTAGCAGTGATGATTCTTTGAGAAGGACCCCGGAAAGGTATAAGTTAAGGCATGCATCACAGCCAGAACAATTCTTTGGGGAACTGAGGGCTGACAGATCTGTAAATACATTCGTCATGATCAGAGTGGAATGGGCCATGGCATACTGTAGCTTCTGCCTTATGTGTGTTCAAGGTCATCAAAACCAAAAAAAAAGGAAATTCCCCCAAAATGTCATTTTTGAGAAATGCTATTTAGTCTTAACTATGAGAACTTAACAATACTTTTAGTATTCTACTCTTAGCTGGGATACAAATGTAAATTAATGAAGTTTAACAGATTAAGTTAAAAAAACCTTAACGTTCCTTGTGTAAAGGGTGAACAAGAAAAGTTTATCATTTCAATTTTCACTTTTAACCACCAGATGGAGCTAAGCATAAATTTAAGTTTAGTGTTAGGCTGACTCCAGCTGTTTCTGAATTCAGAAATGCAGGGAAAAATAACAAGGATATTGATGAGCAAGAGATAGTAAATAATTTTCATCACTTTATCTCCATTTTTTGCTGTAAAGTCTATTTTTAATAGGAAAAATCCAGAGAATGTTAAACTGATAAAAGTTTTTGGTTGTAAAATTAATTCTTTGTGTTTAAAACAGATGGAAGTAATTTTTTTTTTCCTTTTTATGTATTTATAGCTATTCTTGGGATGCACAATTTGATAACGAATACACAGTTCTGTAATGTAGTCGGAAGTAGTAATGGTGTTGGCCAAGAGCATTTTTCAAGTGAGTATTTAAAATGCTTTGTAAATTCCTATCCTTTATTAAATATATTTGTTTTCTCCATGTATTAACTTCATTACTTACATACCAAATGTTACGTATATGTACTTGAAACCTAAGATTCCAATATGATGGTATTAATATAGAAAAGCATTAAAAAATAGAAAATTAAATATTTTATACTTAATGTGTCACTGGATGTGATAGGAGCCACTAATCATAGAGGTTAGGATTTATAACAATAAGATAATTAAATCAGATCACAAAATGGAGGATGATTACATAATGCTGAGAATCATGGCCCAGCCAGGTTGACACATATTTTGGGGAAAACGCAGTTCAATCCATCATAATTGCTGTAACAGAAACAGAAGTGGGTGGCTTTAACAAATAGAAATTTATTTTCTCAGAATTTAGTAGGCCAGAAGTCCAAATTCAGGGTGTCACCTCCAGGGGAATCTGTCAGCCCTGGAGGAAGATCCCTGGTCTCTTCAGCTTCTGCTCCTGGTTGATCTTCATGTGGCACACATCCATCTTTCCTCATCTCTCCTTGCTCATTTGCTTTTTCACTTATATCTCAGATGAGAGAGATTAAGACATTCCCTACACTAATACTGTCTCATTAACATAACAAAGAATGCCCGTTCCTAAATGGGATTATAACCACAGGTATAGAGGTTAGGATTGACAATACATATTTATAGAGGGGACACAATTCAGTCCATAACAGTTTTATTATTAGTGTTACTGATTTTCAAGAAATTCACAATAGTGACAAAGAAATTGCATTATAAAATCAAATCGGGAAACCATAAGACTATTGAGTCTCTAAACTTTTTAGTCTGATGTGAAATAGTAAGCTTTTTTAAATAATTAATCTCTAAGGTGATTTAGAATTACCAAAGTAATACATGCTTATGTTATACATGTAACTAATAGATAAATATATATGGTAAAAAGTAAAAGTGTCTCTATTCACAACCATTGTGCCTTCCATTCCCCTCCACCCCTGGCCCTAACTCTTTAACAGTTTGGCATATATCCTTAGGTACTATGTATATGTAAACTTACATGTATATCTTAATGTTTTTTTTTACTACTTAACTTTTTTCAGTAATAATAATATTGGCTCCTTATCTTGAATGCTTACTATAGCCCATGTTTTATGCACAACAACTCTTGAATGTGGATTTTTCTCATTTGGCCCTCATAGCAGTTCTGTGAGATTGTTACTGTTATTATCTTTAATTTACATGTAAGGGAGCTAAGGTGTTAGAATGATTAAGTAAGTAGCCTCAATGTCCCATAACATGGAATAGACTTTATCACATACTGTATAGTATATCACTTAGCAGTATGTCATGTTTCCTACTTAGTACGTATAAATCTAACTCATTTAAACATCTGCATATGTTTTGGTTACCTAGTGCCACTCTGACAAGAATATACCACAAATGAGATGGCCTTAACAAACAGGAGTTTATTCTCTTAAAGTTTTGGAGGCTTTAAGTCCAAGTTCAAAGTGCCAGGTTCTAGGGGCTGGGTGAAAGCCCCTCAGCCTTGGGTTCCAGCTCTGTCTCCTGCTCCCAGTCTACTGGAACTAGAGGTGTTTCTTCACTCAGATAGCTGCTAGCTTCTGAGGCTGACAAACCCAAGGTTGACAAATAAAAAGGCACGGTCCCGATGTTACCAAACCACATGGCAGGCCATTGATTTAAGTCCACTGTAAGTTCCAAGGTCGGCAGAGCATGGCAGGCTGCTGAACAACAAGATGGCTACATGCAGGTTCAAGGTGCCATAAGCTAGAGACTATCCCTAAGGCTTCTCCTTATATACAGGAAGTAGACCACATCCCCAAAGGCAGGTACGCAGCTGCTTGTGGTAGATACCATCATGGATTTGATTGCCAGTCTCATCGTGGAGAATAACAACCACCAGCTGCCCAGCCACCAACCAGGCCAGCCAAATTGACATACAAACATAACTGCTACAGTGTGCCATGAGAAATTCCCATTCCCATGAATTGTATTAATGTTCTGTAATTTATCCATTTCCTCTATTTTTTAATTTTTTTTATAGGAATGTTTAAACATACATAATAGAAGAAAGAATAATGCATTCATCACCCAGCTTGAGGTGTTTTTGACATTCTGCTGAGCTTGTCTCATCTATCGTCTACTTCCAACACTATTCCTTATATATTTTATTCCCCTGGAGTATTTTAAAGCAAATATTGATCATTTTTATATTGTTTCACCATTAATATTTCTGTATGTCTCTCTCACAACTAAGGACTTTTTCTTTTAACATAACCATAGTTCCATTACCAAACCGAAAGTAATTTCTTATCACCTAATACCCAGTCGTATTGATATGTCCCCTGTTCATATGTCCTCAGACATTTTATATGTTCAAATCAAGATATAAACAAGGGTCACACATTTCATTTGGTTGTTTGTCTTTTCATTTTCTCTTAATTTCTTAAACGTTTGGCTGATTGCAACCTCATGGTGTCGTTTTATGTGTTTTTCTTTCTCCCATATTTTTGTAAACTACTCTAGAGACGTGATCAGATTCAGATACAGTGTTTTGACAAAAATGCTTCATAGATGATGCTGTGACTGAATCACATTAAGAACCATACAAAGTCTAGTCATTCCCCTTTGACTGATGTATTTAAACTAATCAGTAGATCCAAGTGTTGGTAGCCTGATTCACCCATTATAGAGTCCCCCATGAACTTTTCACATAATGGTTTCAGAATCCTTCTGACTGGATCCATTATTGCATTAGGGAGCGAAGCTCTTTACACACATTTAGTGGAGTAGGGAATGAACTCTTCCAATTTCATAAAATTTAGAATTGGGGAAGAACTAGTCTAGTTTACTATTCAAGGAGGCATGTTGGAAAAGCACAAGATACTTTTACAGGGAATTTATTGGATGAGAAAGCAATGTACCTTGCCTCCACAAGACTTTTGCTTGTAAAAGCTAGAAGAGAGCAGAAGGGAGGAGCTCTGGTAGTGTAATGCCTAAGGCACTTGACTGCTAACCAGAAGGCTCATGGTTCAAACCCACCAGCCACTCCTCGGAAGGAAGATGGGGCAATCTACTTCCATAGTGATACTGCCTTGGAAACCCAAGGAAGGGTCGCTATGAGTCGAGTCCGACTTGAAGGCACTTAACAACAGCAAGCCAGACAGCAGTCCATTTAGATAGAACCTTGTCACTCTTTCCATGTCAATTGCTCTTAACTATTTGGGATCAGTCATCTCTTTGAAAATCTGATGCCATTGATATTTCCTCCAGAAAACATATGCATAGGAGTGAGGAGGGTCATAGGTTTACACACACATGCATCAAAGTGCACTTACATCTTACTGAAGTGTTTTGGTTCCTATGTCTTTCCATTCTGGTCATATTAATGGGCATATAAGGTAAAAGTTTGGCAGGTGGGAGTGAAAGGGAAGTAACTTCTGGAATTTGTGTCTCAGTAGCTTTTTCCTGTGCACCTTTACCTCTCCCTCCTTGCCACTCCCCATTCCTGCCCCCTCTTTCAGAGTCTTCCTTTTCGCATTGCATGAAATTCTCCACGGGAGAAAAGAGGTAATTGTTTCCTTCTGTTACTCTGCTTTTCTTGATGAGCTTATATTTAAGTCTGTGATTGTTAATGCTTTATAAAATTACTAGTGAAGTCTCAGAGAAAATATTGAGATGCTAGTTTTTAACATATTAGTCTTTTATCATGAATATTGCTAACAATAAGTTGGATCATCAGCTTGTGTTATAAAATACTTTTTAATGGAAAAGGTATCTTGTGATATACCAAGAGTCAGTGAAAGTGTTCATTTGTTAACATTTTCAAAGGCTGACTCATCGCAAAGAAATTAAATGTTCAGGTGTGTTTGTATTTATATACAATATAATTTTATTTAAGTGTTTTAAGTAAGTGTCAACACATAAAGGATTTTTAAGGAATTATGAGGAAGGAATTTTTTAATCTGTTCTGCTAATAAGTAAGTGTGTGTGTGGGGTGTGTGTGTATAGTATATATGAGTTACCAAGTTAACATATGCATCCACCATAATAGTATCAACCAATGAGGCCCTTGCTTTTATCATTTGTTGCTACAGATGTGGTAAAAGGTGAAAAGATTCTTCCAGTATTTGATGAACCACCAAATCCAACTAATGTTGAAGAGAGTTTAAAGAGAATTAAAGAAAATGATGCTCGTCTTGTTGAAGTTAATCTGAATAATATAAAGGTAGGCATACAAAGCAAACAGTATTGCTTTGGGTCAGTTGGATGTATGATAAGAGCTGGACAGTTTTGGTCTAGTAGTCTGATTCTCTCTATTTAAAGGGTAGGTAAGTTTTAGCTTGTAACAGTAAGCAAACATAGGTTCCTTCATATTTTATAAATTAAATAATTATAGTATAGATTTTCTAACTTGCTTCTTAAAGAGTTTATCAGATTTAAACCCTACAAAGTGTTAGTAGAGTAAATCTCTCTGGCATTCAAAAGTACTGCTCACTTTTAAGAACATTTAGTCTTTAGGGTTTTGTTTCAGGTTTTTTGAGGTATAATTTGTATTTAATAAAAGTCTCCTTTTGTAGTGTACAGTTGTGAGTTTTGGCAAACACATGTGGTCATGTGACTGCCACTACGCCCAACATATAGATGTCCATCACCCCCAGACGGTCTTTCCTGCCCCTCTGTAGTTATCCTCTTCCCTTCTCTCTGGCTCCTGGTAGCTAATGATCTGTTTCCTTGCCCTATCATTTTCCCTTCTCCAGAATGTCATATAAATGAAATTATACACTATGTAGCCTTTTGACTGTGGTTTCTTTCATTGGCATAATACATTTGAGATTCATCCATGTTGAGTATATCAGAATTTTGTTCTTTGTTTATTGCCGAATAGTATTCCATTGTATGAATATGCTACATTTTGTTTATCTCTTCATTGGTTAGTAGACACTTAGGTTACATTTGGGGCAGTTATGAATAAGTCCACTATAAATATTCACATACAGTTTTTTATGCAAACATAACGTTTTTATTTCTCTTGAGTAAATACTTAGGTGTGGGCTTGCTGGGTTCTCACTGGGTTTTAAGCACGGCAGCTTTTCCTTGGCATAAAGAAAGAAGAAATTAAGTAGGAGGGCATGGAGGTAATTAATTACTAGAGAATAAAATCAAACTGCCTGTGGAGTATTGGCCCTTATGTACTAGCTTCATTATAAAGTCCTCATTTTAAATCTTGATTTATCTGAATTGGGAGAGGAACATCTGGAAATAACAAGAACTGAGGAGCTATATACAGCAAGACTTCTATGCTCCTATAGCAGGTACTCCTATGAGCTGAAGAAAGAGAGCCTTGGAGAAAGCTAATAATATCCTTAGTTTAAAATTCAGCCCTGTGTATCTTTCTCTAAAGTCAGTAATAATGATATAAATATGACTAGGCTACAGCAGAAGGTCTTAGGTATTAAAGGGAGAAGTTAGTACCTTCTATATCTTTTCTTATTAGTTTAGGGCTAATCACTCTTAATGTTATTATGTGCTGTCAAGTCAGACCCGACTTAGAGCAACCCCTCCTTGGGTTTCCGAGGCGGTATCACTACAGAAGTAGTTGCTCAACCTTTCTTCTGAGGACTGGTTGGTGGGTTTGAACTGCCAGCCTTCTTGTTAGCAGTCAAGTGCCTTAGGCACTATACTACCAGAGTTCCTAATCCTTCTTAATACCTCATATCTTAAACTAAATAACCAAGAGTTGTATGTTGTCTGCCACAAAGACCATACTTAGAGATGGGGCTCCCACTTCTTTCTCTTTGTGGAAAAGTGGAGCTACTTTGAGTCATCAAGGGTTGGCTTCTTATAATACTAATAATTTTAATAAGTAGAATAGTGAGTGTTTCTTCAACCTAGAGAAATGGTGATATATGCTCTGTTCTGAAGCAACACACAGTTTGTGCACATCCTCCACAATATAGAAGTCAAATAGATACAGAGGAGGCTGAGATATTTGTTTTCATTTGTAGACTGTTATGTTTATCTTTTTTTGTCTTTTAGTATATTTTAAAGCAAAAAATATATAAGTACAAATATATCCAATTAATGAAATGAACTGAATTTCCTGAAAACTAAAATGTAATAATGTTTCATATTACTATCTTTTAAGAATATCCCAATTCCCACCCTAAAAGATTTTGCCAAGGCTTTGGAAACCAACACCCATGTGAAGTATTTCAGTCTTGCAGCCACTCGGAGCAATGACCCTGTTGCTGTTGTAAGTAACCTATTGTTGGTAATATTGATATTCTAACAACATACTTGAGTGTCTTACAGCAATTGTTCAACTCTGATTGTATGAACAAGATTTATTCCCTATTTTCAGTTGATGTTTAGCTCACTATTAGGCAGCTTGTTATTTATTATCCCTTTATGTTAAATTTTCCTATCTTAATGACTTTTTAAAAAAACACAGAGTCATGTAATATGTGTTGTTCTGTAACTTGATTTTTCACTCAATAGTAAGTATTAAAGATCTTTTCATATCAGCACATAAAGATCTACTTCATTCTTCTAACCTCTGGAGAAGATTCCATTTTACGGATCAATGGTGCTGGATTTTTTCAAATGCTTTCCCATATCTATTGAGGTGGTCATGACGTTTATTTATTACTGGAGTTTATTACATTCATTGTGGGTTTTTATGTATATAAATCCCAATTGGTCATGATATGAACCTTTTCTTCACTTGTCTTTAAGGCCATATTCCCTTTTGTTCTCCTCCTACTTTACTGGACATTCTTTCTCAAGTCTCTGTGCTGGTTCCTCCTCATCTTTGTAACCTCTAAACATTGGAATGGCCCTGGGCTAGGTCCTAGACCCTCTTCTTTTCTCTGTCTGCCCTCCCATTCTATTTCATTGCTATGTCATCTATATATGCTGACAGCTCCCAAGATTATTATCTCCAGTTCATATCTCTTCTTGAACTCCATAGCATATCCAACTACCTACTCACTAGCTTTACTTGGATGTTTAATAGACTTCTCATATATAAGTACCAAACTAAAATTCTCAATTATACCCCATACCTACTTCTTTTCATGCTCTTTTCTATTTCACTAAATGTCAGTGAAATAAAAAAAAATTAAAAAATAGAAAATTGAAAGAATAAATCAATTATTCTTTCATTTGTTCTGATTTGAAAAAATACACATAGAGAGAGTCATCTTTGACTTCCCTCTTTGACAACCAGAAACATATGTCTAGCCTTGTCTTCAAAATATTTCTAGAATTCCACCACTTCTTGCCATTTTCACAACTACTGCCCTGGTCCAAGCCACTATACTCTCTCATCTGTATTGTTGCGATAACTTCCTAATTGAGTTGCTTGCTTCTGTCCTAGCCACCCCAAAGCCAGTTCTTTATACAACATCAAGAGTGATTCTTTTATAACTTAAGACAAATTATGTGACCACTGTACTTAAAACCCTCCAGCAGCTTCCTGTCCCACTAAAAGTAAAAATCAAAATTTTTCCAGTGGTCTTAAAAGACGTTGTGTGAACAGACCTCATCTACTGTTGCTTGCCCTTTCTTTCACCCTACTGTAGCCATACAACCTTCCTGTTCTTCCCAAAACATGTCATACGTTCTCCCAACCCAGGGCCTTTATACTTGATCTTCCTTCCTAGAACATTTCAATAAAGTTACTTGACATAGTTTTACTTCATCACTTTATTCAAGTCTTTGCTCAGATACCACTCTCTTAATAGGGCCTTTCTAGATAACCCTGTATAAAATAACAACTCCACCCCTAACCCCAGCACTTCCCATTTACCCTACTTGGCCTTTTATTCCCTCTATAGCTTTTTTTACTGATGACAGTATTTTGTTTACTTATATATTGTTTGTGTTCCTCCACTAGATGGTAAGTTCCATCAGATAGGGACTTGTATGTTGTTTTTCTGAATCTCCAGAACAGTACCTAGGAAATGTTAGGCACATAGTAATATTTGAATAAATGTATATATTGATGGATGGTTAAAGGATTTGTTCCAGATCACATAGCTAACTACCACTAATAGAAAGTACAAATATATAGCTACCTACCCTGAACTATTTCTAATATCCCTGCCCCCTTTGCCTTCTTTTTTTTTTTTTGGTCTTCACTTGAAGCTTGATCTTACCCATATTTTCTGGAGTTTGACCTTGTTTTTGACCCTCTATAAACCAAACTCACTGCTGTCGAGTCAGATCTGACTCATAGTGACCCCTCCTTGGGTTTTGAGGCGATATCACTATAGAAGTATATTGCCCAGCCTTCTGATGAGTGGCTGGTGCATTTGAACCACCACCCTTCTGGTTAGCAGTCAAATGCCTTAGGCTCTACGCCACCAGAGCTCCATTTGACCCTCTATAAAGGGCTGTTTTACATGTACGCTCAGGTTCTTCTCTCTCACTCTTTAGTCTCTTCCCCTTTCTTCTCACTTACAGGATTCTGTTAATCAGTGTGTTTATTAAACACTGGGTTGACTGCCTGCCGTTGTATCATATCCCGTGAAGTATATAATGGGAGCAGGTTGAAGACATGCCATTCCTTCAAGAATTTAGTATTTAGCCAGCCCTTTCTTCTCTGTAGCCTTTGAGTTCATTTAGTTCTAGTTCTGTCTTCTTTCTGCTTTAGGCATTTCCTTTGGTCTTTGCCTTAGAAATTAAAATTAGATATTATTTACCTTCATTGTGGCTTTGCAATGACCTAGCTAAGGCCAGGACCCAAATGTTCCAAAGAGACATTGATGATATTAGTCCTACAAAGAAACTGAAAGAATGTGTGAGAGACATGAAGTAGGTTACAAATGAATTTAAGAATGTAAATAGGAGTAGAGAATGCTTCTGACAAAAATTTAAAGATTGTGACAGAGTTCACATGAAAAACAGATACATGTGAAATGAATGGGGCAATGTATCAAGTTACAACAGTCTAATAAATATTAACGCAGTTATGTTAATTGGTATAAATTAATTTATAGTATTATGGTATGTTACAAGATGGATGCTATGAAATTTTAATTTCAAAATACTTTGTTTAATTTCTAGGCTTTTGCAGATATGTTGAAAGTGAACAAAACTTTGAAGAGTTTAAATATGGAGTCCAACTTTATTACAGGAGCTGGGATTCTAGCACTGCTTGATGCTTTAAGAGATAATGAAACCCTGGCAGAGCTCAAGATTGACAACCAGGTCAGTGATCAACAATAGTAACTTTGAGGGAGTTACAGCTCCCTGCTGCTGTGTGGAACATGGGGACCTAGGAGACAAAAGGAGAAAGGGCTTTCAGGGACTCTTTTGGGAAGGTGATTTGCTAAAAAGCGATGTAAGGAGGTTTGAGACATCTAGAATGTTAATGTATATAAGGATGTATACAAAGCAGCTTTCTCTAAGTTGTTTCAAGAGACTTTAGATAACTGGCTATTTTGAACTAGGAGTTTTAGAAGTGACTCAGTCCATCTGCAGTTTTTCAGCTCTTTAATAGCAAGATCCACATTAGACTTTTTGTATGTCACAGTCCCAAACCCACAATAGATGATTAGTTTGAATCAAAGAACAAAAAGCTGCAATACCCAGGTTAGTCTGAGGGTGGCAGTCTTCTCTCTAGCCCAGTACACTGCTGGCAGCCATAATGGTTATGCTAAGTCATCCATACCCAGATGAACTTATAAAGTGGGAGAGAAATACACATGTAGGGAACATTTCCATCTACCAAAACAAAAAAACTCAACTGCCATCAAGTCAATTCTTGCTCATAGCAGCCCCCTGTGAGTTAACAATGTGGTAAATCTTTACAGAACCTACAAAACAAAACAAAACAAAAAAACTCACTGCCATTGAGTCGGATCCAACTCATAGTGACCCCTCCTTGGATTTTCGAGGCAGTATCACTACAGAAGAGATTGCCCAATCTTTCTTCCGAGGAGTGACTGGTGCGTTTGATCTGCCAGCCTTCTGATTAGCAGTCAAATGCCTTAGGCACTGCACCACTACAGTGGTTATTAATTAAAATAAAACAATATAGAGAGGGGAAGAAACACTGCAAAAATTAAAATTGAGAAAAAAAAAGCAATATATACATTTGATGGAAATGTTGCATTTATTGGAAAATATTTCATAAATGACCTCCCCAGTCCTTTGAATTCAGCAAATTTTGTAGACTACCAAGGTAGAAAGGAGGACTATATCTCAAAATTTAATCAAAATGCCACTTGATCCACATTTAAAATTTTTTTCATTGAAATAAAATTCATATGAAATCTGTCTTTTTAAAACAGAGAGGTTTTTTTTTAAAGGATATTCATAGTGTTACACAACCATCATAGGAGCTCTGGTGGGACAATAGTTAAAGAATTCAGCTCCTAACCAAAAGGTTGGCAGTTTGAACCTACCAGCTGCTCCACAGGAGAAAGATGTGGCAGTCTGCTTCCATAAAGATTCACAGCCTTCGAAACCCTATGGAGCAGATCAACTCTATACACTATAAATTGGAATCAACTCAGTAGCAATGGGATTTTTGTTTGTTTTTATACAGCCATCACCACTATCTAATTACAGAACTTTTCATCACCCAAAAAAGAAACCCTGTACCCATTAGTAGTTTCTCCCCATTAACTTCTTTCATCAGTCCTGCTTTCTGTCTGTGGATTTGCTTATTCTGGACAGTTCGTATAAATGAAATTATACAATATGGTCTTTTGTGTCTGACTTTGTTCACTCAGCATGATGTTTTTGAGAATCATCCTTGTTACAGGATATATCAATACCTCATTCCTTTTTTATAACTGAGTAATATTCTGTTATATGGCTATATCACATTTAGTTTATCCATTCATTAGTTCGTGGACATTTAAGTTGTTTCAGTTCTTTGGTTATTATGAATAATGCTATTATGAACAGTCATGTACATGTTTTTATATAAATGCATGCTTTCATTTCTCTAGGAGTAGAATTGCTTGGTAATATGTTAGCTGTGTTTAATTTTTTGAGGAATCTGCCAAAGTTTTTTCAGTGGTTGAACCATTTAACATTCCCACCAGCAACATATGAGGGTTCCAGTTGTTCCACATCTTCACCAACACTTGTTATTGTCTTTTTTTTTTTTTGGGGGGGGGTCACCGTGGTGGGTGTGAAGTGCCATCTCATTGTGATAATCCACTTTTTTTTTGATGTCTGTATGATCATATCAGGAGCTCTGGTAGCGTAGTGCCTAAAGGCACTTGACTGCTAATCAGATGGCTGGCAGTCCAAACTCACCAGCCACTCCTTGGAAGGAAGGTTGGGCAATCTACATCCATAGTAATACTGCCTCGGAAACCCAAGGAGGGGTTGCTATGATTTGGGGCCCAGTTGACAGCACATAACAACAACAAACAACAACATATGATTATATCAGTTTGTCGTACTATGGTGACTTGTGTGTTGATGTGAGGCTGGAGGCTCTGCACCAGTTTTTCAAATACCAGTGTGTTCACCTGTGATGGATAGGTATGAGCAGAGCTTCCAAATGTAAACAGGCTGGGAAGAAGGGAGGGGCCATCCACTTCTGAAAAAAACAGGCCACTGAAAACCTTATGAATAGCACCGTCTGATAGATTACTGAAAAAAGTTATGAAAAGCCATGAAACATCGCCTGTTACAGTGCTGGAAGATAAGCCCCTCAGGTCGGAAGGAACTCAAAATTCAACTGGGGAAGAGCTGCCTCCCCAAAGCAGAGTTGACCTTAATAGCATGGAGTAAAGTTTTCAGGACCTTCGTTTGCGGATGGGATGCAACTCAAAATGGGAAGAAACAGATGTAAACATTCATTAATAATTGGAATATGTAATGTATGAAGTATGAATCTAGGAAAATTGGAAGTTGTTGAAAATGAAACAGAATGGATAAAGATCGATCTCCTAGTCTTTAGTGAGCTGAAATGGACTGGTATTGGCCATTTTGAATCAGACAGTCATATGATCTATTCCAGGAATAACAAATTAAAGAGGAATGGCATTGCATTCATCAAAAGGAACATCTCAAGATCTATCCTGAACTATAATATTGTCAGCAATAGAATAATATCCATATACCTATGAAGAAGACTAATTAATACTACTATTTTTCAAATTTATACACCAATCACTAAAGCCAAAGATGAAGAAATTAAAGATTTTTACTAGCTTCTGCAGTCTGAAATTGACCAAACATGCAATCAAGATGTGTTGATAATTTTTGGTGATTGGAGTGCAATGAAAACAAAGAAGAATTATCAGTAATTGGAAAATATGGCCTTGGTGATAGAAATGACACTGGTAACTGTGTAATAGAATTTTTCAAGACCAACAACTTATTCATTGTAAATACCTTTTTCAACAACATAAATGGCATACACAGAAATCAGATCAACTACATATGTGGAAAGAGGTGATGGAGAAGCTCAATTATCACCAATTAAAACAAGGCCAGGAGCTGACTGTGAAACTATTAGTTGCTCTTATGTAAGTTCACATTGAAACTAAAGAAAATTAAAATAAGTCCATGAGAACCAAAATATAATGTTGATTACATCCCACATGAATTTAAGACCATTTTGAAGAATAGATTTGAAGTATTGAACACAAATGACCAAAGACCAGATGAGTTGTGGGATAACATCAAGAACATCATACATGAAAGTAAACAATCATAGAAAAGGAAGAAAAGACCAAAATGGATGTCAGAAGAGACTCTGAAACTTGCTCACAAACCTGGAATAGCTAAAGTAAATGGAAGAAATGATGAAATAAAAGCTAAACAGAAGATTTCAAAGGGCAATTCGAGAAGACAAAGTATTATAATGGAATGTGCAATGACCTTGAGTTAGAAAACCAAAAGAGAAGAACACACTTAGCATTTCTCTAGCTGAAAGAACTGAAGAAAAAATTCAGGTCTCCAGTTGCAATATTGAAGGATTCTATGGGCAAAATATCAAACAACTCAGGAAACATCAAAAAAAGATGGAAGGAATACATAGAGTTACTATACCAAAAGGAATTGGTTGATGTCCACCTATTTCAAGAGGTAGAGTATGATCAAGAACCAATGGTATTGAAGAAAGAAGTCAAAGCTGCACTGAAGGAATTAGCTAAAAACAAGGCTTCAGGAATTGACGGAATGCCTATTGAGATGTTTTCAACAAATAGATGCAGCACTGGAGGCACTTACTCATTTATGGCAAGAAATTTGGAAGGCAGCTACATAGCCTGGAAGAGATCCATATTTGTGCCTATTCCGAAGAAAAGTGATCCAACATAATGAGGAAATTATCTAACAGTATCATTAGTGTCACATGTAAGAGAAATCTTGCTGAAGATAATTCAAAACTGGTTGCAGCAATATGTTGATAGGGAACTTACAGAAATTTAAGCTGGATTCAAAAGAGGACGTGAAACAAGGGATATCATTGCTAATGTCAGATGAATCTTAGCTGAAAGCAAAGAATACTAGAAAAATGTCTGCCTGTGTTTTATTGACTATGGAAAGGCTTTCGACTTGTGGATTATACAAATTATGGATAGCATTGCAAAGAATGGGAATTCCAAAACCATACATTATGAGGAACCTGTACATGGACCAAGAAGCTGTTGTTCAAATGGAACAAGGGGATATTGTATGGTTTAAAATCATGAAGGGTGTATGCCATCAGGGTTGTATCCTTTTACCATAGTTATTTAATCTATATGCTGAGCAAATCTGAGACAGCAGCATCAGGATTGGAGGAAGAACCATTAACAACCTGTGATATGCAAATTGCACAACCTTGCTTCTGGAAGTGTAGACAATTTGAAGCACTTAATGATGAAGATTGAAGACTGCAGTCTGCAGTATGGATTGCACCTCAATATGAAGAAAATTAAAATCCTTACAACTGGACCAAAAAGCAACATCATGATAACAGAGAAAAGCCTGAAGTTGTCAGGGGATTTCATTTTACTTGGATCCGCAGTCAACCCTCATGGAAGCAGCAGTCAGGAAATCAGATGTCATATTGCTCTGGGAAAGTCTGTTGAAAAAGACCTCTTTAAAGTATTAACAAGCAAAGATGTCACTTTGAGGACTAAGGTACACCTGACCCAAGCAACGGTCTTTTCAGTAGCCACATATGCATGTGAAAGCTGTACAATGAATAAGGAAGACCAAAGAAGAGTTGACACCTTTGAGTTGTGGTGTTGGTGAAGAATACTGAAAATACCAGCAAATCTGTTCTGGAAGAAGTGCAGCCAGAATGCTTCTTAGAAGTGAGAATGACCCGACTTCATCTCACCTACTTTGGTCATGTTGTAAGAAGGGACCAATCCCTAGAGAAGAATGGTCAGTGAAAAGGGGGAAGACCCTCATCAAGATAGATTGACACAGTAATTACAACGATGGGCTCAAGTTTAGCAAGGATTGTGAGGCTGGCGCAGGACGAGGTAGTGTTTTGTTCTGTTGTACATACGGTCACTATGAGTCGGAGCCCAATTGGCAGCACCTAACAGCAACATATGATCATACATTGAATTTTTTAACATTATTTATTTTTTGTATGTTCTGAAGAACTGAGAAGATTTAAAGACCAACAGAAGCAGCATGAGCCTGAATGTCTTAGTCTTTCCTTGAAAAGTATTTTGATCTAATTTATTAATTACCTTTATTTTTAATTATTCCAGAGGCAGCAGTTGGGGACAGCTGTAGAATTGGAAATGGCCAAGATGCTGGAGGAAAATACAAATATCCTTAAATTTGGATATCAGTTTACACAGCAGGGACCCCGAACCAGGGCAGCTAATGCTATAACAAAAAACAATGATTTAGGTAAGCTATCTCTAGTATCAATTTGAGGTTCTGAATTGGATTATTAAGCTAATACATTGGAAGCACTTCTTTTACATTTTACATTTTAACAGAGAGAAATTACTTGGCCATTGTTTCTAAAATCTGAGTAGTCCTTTGAATACTGACTAAAGTTAAATTTAAGTGACATGGTGGTAATCATCAGGTGAGTGAGTAAAATCAGCTTCCTTTAACAAACACATTTTACAACTTTAAGTAAACAATTTTCTAGAACAAACATCTTAACAAATATTTCCCATAGCAGATACTTTGTTCTCAGTTACAAGTTAGTCCTTGGAACTATTAAAACAAAGGTTTCAACATGATAAGAAAATTTTTACTCTTTTTATCAAACAGGGCCCAGATAGAAATTTATTCTTATATGGCAAAATACAGAGTAATTATAGTTTTAACCCAAGTTTTATAGTCACTGATATGTAAATATTTGCTGTGCGTTACCAGTCACCCTCCATTTTTTCATGCTGCTTTATTGAGCTGCTGAGGCTCATGGCTTCTGTCTGAAGTAAATTTTCCGCCACAGCTCAATTCAAGTATATAGTGCATATAATTTTGTTTCTATGTGTTTCCAAAAGTTGACTCTTCTTTTAAGTAGTGGTGTCTGTCATTGAAGTATTTGGAAAGATGCATTTTAGACAAAAAAAATAAGACTTCCCAAAGGGAGTAGCATTTCAAAGCGGTGCAGTTCTTTTCAACTCCCCCTATATTTAAGTTTACATTCTTTAAAAGTTTTTGGAGCAGGAAAAAAATATAGCTTCTTTCCTTTGGTCCTGTTCACTGTGAAAAATATTATTTCAACCCTTTCTGTCCTTGGCATGACTGCTGTTTCCTAATGAAGATTTTAGCATCTTGCTTTTTAAAAGAGAAAATTGGCGTGTGTGTGTGTGTGTTGGTATACTGTTGTGTCTAATGTAGTTTGCAAAGTCATGTGAACTCTTTTGGTATTGGTTCACTAGTAATCGTTTTTTCCTTCAGATATTTAATTTTGTTTTTCAGAACAGTGTTTCTCAAATTTGCTTGAACTTCAGAAATAACTGTGGAGCTTTAAAAACATAGATTATTGAGCCTCCTTCCTGTCAAGATTCTGATTTAGTTTGTTTAGAGTGGGATTTGGGCTTTGGAACTTTTAACAGGTGCTGCAGCTGATTATGCTATGGATGGTCCATGATTGGTGACATACTGGCTTGTTTTTCCAGTTTGAAGTGTGTGTTTGACTCCTTGAGTCTGTTATTATTGTAGTCCTTGAGCAGTGTGCCCCATACCCTCTACTTCTTCTTACAACATTTGTCACACTTTTTAAATTGCCTTTTTACTTAGTTACACTTCATTGTAATGGTCTATTTTTAAAGATCATAAGCTTTTTGAGGGCAGAGGCCATGTCCATCTATTGAATCCTCAACTCTCTTAAATAAGACATGTCTGACATAAAACCAAAAACCCATTGTCATTGAGTCAGTTCCTACCCTGTGGAACAGAGTAGGTTCCCAAGACTGTAAATCTTTATGGGAGCACACTGTGTCATCTTTCTCCTGTGGAGTGGCTGATGGATTCAAGACGCCAGCATTTCGGTTAGTAGTCCGATGCCTTAACTACTTTGCCATCAGAGCTTGTTTGCCTGACTTACAGTAGGTACTTAATAAAAATGTATAAGTGAATAAAGAAAGTGGTAGAATTGAGCCCTGCTCAGAATTACTATTTTCTGTTAACTAAATCCCCATAAACTTAGGCTAGATGTATCTTGTATTTTTTCTTCTTCTCAGAAACTACCTTAACTTTCCCAGAATCCCGCTAACATATGTACCAAAAAAAAACCCCAAACCCACTACCATTGAGCTGATTCCGACTCATAGTGACTCCATTGAATTTACAAGGCTGCAAATCTTTACGGAAGTAGATTGCCTCATCTTCCTTCCATGATGCATGCTGATGGGTTTGAACCGCTGACCTTCTTCTGGTTAGCAGCCAAATGCCGTAACTACTGTCCCACCAGAGCTCCTTAACAAATGTACCAGGAAAAAAAAAAAAACTCACTGCCATCAAGTAGTTTCCAAGGCAGTATCTCTACAGAAGTAGACTGCCAGTCTTCCTTCCGAGAAGTGGCTGGGGTTTGAACCACCAGCCTTCTGGTTACCAGTCAAATGCCTTATGCACTATGCCACCAGAGCGCCTAACAAATGCATAGCCCCAATCATTTCTGTTACCTGAGTATCCCACAAGCAATTCATCCCAGCAGCTGTCCCTATAGGAGTGGGACATCAAGATCCCCTAAGTGGCACAGCCGGGCCAGTGGCCTTTGTGAGGCCTCATCAGTTGTGCTTCTCTGCTGAGCTATTTCAATTTGTACTTTGCCCAAATTTCTGTAAGAAAAGTAGTGTCCGGTTTTTGGGTAAGGGAGATGTCATCAGATGAGGTGAGAAAATGAAAAGTATTTCCTAGGCTTCTGTATGTTGACATTTGGTAATTGAATAGCCGTCTACAGCAGTATGTAATAGGATAAGGAGGCTTTGTTTGAGAAGTTGTGCTGTAACAAAGCAGAACTGAAAGAGAGCAAACAACTTTGGACTGGTAACTCTAGCCTGCCATTCATGCTCATTAATTCAGATCTGACTAGGTTTTCAGACCTAGGTCTCAGGCATGAAATGAGAATAAGAAAGGACATTCTTGGAGTAGGAAATTGCGTGGATAAAAGTGCACATTTGGGATCAAGTAAGTTTTTTATATGCAGAGGGAAACCTGTAGATTTTGTAAATTGACTTTCATAATATGATACTGCGTCCAGAATAAACTTTCATTAAGTACTTGCTGTGTGAAGCTAACAGGGTGAAAAAGTGGTGGCAGCAGATTAAGAGGGAGAGTTTGTAGAAGGCCCCAGAATTAATTGGTAATGAACTTAGATTTCTTTGGATTTTATGTGGGGAGCTTTTGAGAGCAATTGTAGTCCACTGACTGCATGATTAAATGACATATCTAAAAAGATATTTTTACTACTCTTCTAAGAGTTTCTGGGTGGCTCAGACAGTTAAGCATCCAATTCCTACCCAAAAGGTTGGTGGTTCAAACCCAACCAGAGGGGTCTCAGCGGACAGGCCTCGTGACCTGCTTCAGCCTTGAAAACCCCATGGAGCATTTCTCCTCTGCACACATGGGGTGTCACGTGTCAGAATCGACTTGGTGGCAACAACAACATTACTCTTCTAGAGATAGAAAGGAAATGAGGTTAGTTAGGACTTACTTGAAGCTGACTGATCATGAAGTGTTGAGAGCTTCTATCCGTAGAGTGGAGTGGGTTTTAGAAAAAAATCAGACCACATCCAAAGTGTTGTTAATAAGGCAAAATTGATAAGCCTCTAACCTGTGTAACTGAGGAGTTACTGGAAGGTAACAAGTGGGCATCAGGTGAGAAAGAGGAATCAGAAATAGCACTTCATTCCCGTCTCTCTCTGCTGTGTTGTCCTCACAACAGTAGCAGGTCACCATCTGCTCCCAGTCAGACTGTCTTCAGCCCTATATTATGGTCTCTGCCTCTAGATGAAGATGGCAAGGTGAAGAGCATGTTTTCCTCTACACAGGTCTCAGCAACCTGATAGGTAGTGATGCAAAAGAAATATCAAAGAGTTACACTCGAAACTTGTACAGAATCTCTTGGGCAAATAATTTTTCTTCACCTCGCAAATGAGGCTACATCATACCTTTAGTGCTCTAATTTTGATAATATCTTTCCTTCTCTCATTGTGTTCTTAGTCTCAGCTATTCGTTGAAATAATTCTACGTACTGTCCATCTCTCCAGCTAAGAAGTGTCACAGTTATAGCAGCAAAGAGGTTGTATGGTATACATGCAATGTTTCATTGAGTTTCAGTGTTTCATTTGAGTCTCGTTGTTGCTTTTACGTGAGCTAACTGCCTAAGCAATTGCGCACATCTTCTTTGTTTGTGGCACTCTGTCTTGTAGGTCATGTTTGTAACATGTAGTTAATGTGTGAAATGGTCTGCCAATAACATCCAACCCCTCCTGCAATCCAAAATTTTCTTTGAAATCTTATAACCAAAAGATTATCTGAAGTTTACCTATAAGGTATTTCTGTATTTTTCAGAAATTTATATACATGAATTAAGTATGTATTTGAAGTCTCCATTTCATTTTTTTCCATTAATATTTCAGTAAATACATGGCACATGTTCTTTGTTAAAATGGACTAAAATTAGAGTCAGAGGTGAACTTGATTAGATAACTGTAAAATTGTTCATGAGAACTTGATACTCTAGTACTCCTGGTTGTTTGGTTTGGTTTTCTCTAGCAAGCACCTGTCCAAAGGCTGGAAAAGCATTAGTGTACATCATCACCTACATATCCGGACTCATCCTATTGAAGGCCAACAAACAGAATCCGACAGTGAAAGCGGAGCAATCTGGGCCCTGGTCAGGAGGCCAGGTGCACCTATTGGCTTTTGATTTCACTCAGGACTTTACCCAGTTCATTCCTGTTCCACCCCCTGCTGACAATGTGCATTTGCACCCCAAATACACTGAATCATAATCTACATTTTAACAAGATCTGGGATGGAAATGCGAATTCTCAGCAAGGGGTCAATCTCTTTCATTCTGAACAGCCTAATCTGACTGAACAAAGAGGTAGTTGCTTTCCTTGCTTCCAGAGACAGAAGAGTAGAAAATCAATAGGCCAACAAGCTAACTTAAACAGGAAATTACTGGAAGACATAAAAATTAGTGACTCATAAATGTAAATCCTCTAACTATAATAACCTCATTTTTCTCCTGCAGGGTGGCTGGTGGGTGATCTTTTGGTTAGCAGTCCATTGCTTTAACCACAGTCCCACCCGAGCTACTTCTCATGAAGTACAAATATCACTGTTCTGTTAACAGAGGAGGAATTGAGGCTCAGGTTAACTAACTTGCTGAGGAACACACCACAAAAAAGTGACAGAGCCATGATTCACACGATGTCACTGATTCCAGAGCCCATACTTTAGTACTGTTGTACACTGCCTCTCTAAATAGGAGTTGACCACAACCCTGCAGAGACTGGTGTTTCTCACCAGATGCTCTGATGATTGATAGGCAAGAGTGAAGGTAGCTAGATCTTGAAGCTGAAGGCCTTGCAGAGCTGCAAGTGAGAACAGCCTAGTGGGTTAGGATCGACAGTCCATGAAGAGATGTGAAGGGGTGGGTCCACACACACATGCATCTGTCTTTACTCTATCAGCTGAGCTAGTTGACTAGCCAAGTTTATAGTAGCAGAAATGACCTTACCACATTACCAGGGTCTAAGATGATCATTAGTTTGCATTTGTTATTTTGTCAGAGTCCTGAGCTAGTTCATTTTGTGGGAGACGTGAGAAGAAAAATTTGGAAAGCAGTAGCAAGTCACTTACTTACCTTTAAAAATGACAAAAATGTGTTTTGTTTGTTCTTTCATAGACTAAGGAAATCCATTGAAGTGTCTAATCAGAAGAGCATGCAAATAGTTATTTTTAATACTTCCTAATCCCAAATACTGGAATGTCTTTTTAAAATTTAACACAGTGATTTATTAATCTAAATTACCTAAAAGATAATTACTGACCAGTCTATTTTTCAGATTTCTAATGTTGCTCTTGAGTAAACACCAGTACTACTATGGGATCTTATGATATGTAGTTCTGGTTTTGAAGCTCCGTTCTCAACAAGTAAATTACAATGATGAATGATGTAGAATTTTTTTTTTCTTTTAATGGGCATGTGGCCTAGGAATGGACATTTCGTTTTTATACAACTATAACTGGATTATACAAAAACTTGGCAATTACAAGCAAGTTAACAGTTGTAAAAACTAATAGGTATTTCTAACCTACTTACTTATGTTTTTCTCACAGTTCGCAAGAGACGAGTTGAAGGAGATCAGCAGTAAGTCGGCCAGGATTTAATCTTTGGAAGACTTCAGAAGACCACCAGGGGCTCGTGTGTTGGTGATATCAGATGTAAAATTCTCCTGGGTGGAAGGGAAAAGACTGGAAATCTCCCTCTCTCTTTCTCTGTTTCTCTTTAAACTGTATGTATCTTTATTCTAGTTGTTACTCGCTTCAAATAGTAAAATCAATCGTTAAGTGATCTTTTATATTTTGAAGAATTATGTCAACTTTCTGCTAGTATCAGTTTTAATTGAGCTAAATTAAATAGCTTATGATGAGTCTTGGATAAAAATACGCAAATGTAAAAAAGTTTTAGAAATCCTTTACGTAGAAGAATTTGAACATTTTGAGGACCAATTTTTTTAAATAAAAAAGGGACATTGCTGATACCAAAATTGCTATTTCTCTATATAGGTATGAGGCGCCTCGAAGCTCTCCTTTATCTATGACCTGGGGACTTTTCCATTTTTTAAAATACATGAACTTGTCAAGGGTGTGTTCTTCTCCTGTACTAAGAGAACAAAATGCCAAGATTTTAAAACAGATGACTTAAAATACGGTCATCTGTTTAAAAGCAAAAGCAGGTCTCCCTCCGGAGAGAGAAAACAATCTTCAACACAGTCTAGATCACTGTACTTGTCTGACACGTCTCAGCAACATCTAGATTTTTTTATTTTTAAACAAAGGCATCAGCTTTGCCACATTACATACTTTGTTTAGAAGTATAGTTATGTTTAAGTTTAAGTTCATTATTTTTTTTTATATAATGTGGGCATTATTAAATTTTTAAGAAAGCTAATAGTAAAAAGCATCTGAGTAGAAAAGCTATATTCTTCCGTTTAAAAAGGCATACAGCCAACTGTCAGTTGTTTAGGGTGATAACAAGAAAGCCATTGTTAAATACATCAAATCTAAGATAATACACATGATGGGGTTTTTGAGGAGCTTGCAAAATGATCATTTAAACTTGGTTCCTTTAAGTAAATTAAAAGCTGTTGTCTGTATGAAGTACTGTTGCACAATATATTAGGAGTTTCCTATGTGCAGTGCAGAACTGCATACACAGTATTTAATCACTGCTAAATATTTTTCCAACCAGTAAGGAAAACTACTGTTTTTCATCAAACTTACTTTTAATATGTTTTCTTTCATCTTGTATTTTTTTCACCCATATTATGTAAAAGTAGTTCCTTACAACAAATGTAGTTTTCCTGTTGCTCAAAGTATTAAAGTGAAAAATTCAACAGTGTCCTGTGGTGGGAGGACCAGTGTGACCCTGGAGTATCAGCACAGTCATTGAGCGTCTGAACTTGTGTCCGTGCCCCATCTCAGGCCGGCCTTGGAACCATGAGATGGTAGAGGCATTTACAGCTAAAGAAAATGGGAGGAAAGGAATCTGAGAAAACCAGGCCTCAGAACTTCAGGCCTGACCAGGTCATTTACAGAGAGTTTTTTTTGTTTTGTTTTGTTTTTAAGAGTCTAGCAGGTAGGAGGAGGTGGTTTATTGTTAGCTTTTTTAAATTTTCTGAAATTGAATTACACAAGGTCTGCTTCTCCAGCTTGGGCTGGGCAACTGTCTAATGAACAAGGCAGCTTCTTGTGCTCTCTGGTAATAAGCCTTCTTAACAAACGAAAGCTTCTTTCGTCAGAACTGTGGTGTGGTGTGGTGTGTTTATATGAATCAGTATCCAGTGTTGTTTTGTTTTGTTTTTAACCCTGAAGATTTCTCCCATTCTTTATTCTTTTTTTTTTTAGTTTATTGTGATTTGGGTGAAAGTTTACAGAGCAAATTCATCTTCCATACAGCAGTTCACATATACTTTGTCTCATGACGTTGACTGCAATCTCCCACAATGCAACAGCTCTCCTCCCACTTCCTGCCTATAGCCGCTTCTTCCCTATGTCCTTCCCTCCCATGCACTCCTATCCCCCGAGCTGTCTCCCAGTATCCAGTGTTTTTAAAGGGGCCCAAGAGTGGCTTTACACTGTGACCTTTCAGTTACAGGCCACTGATTCCCCCTCTATGCAGCTTTTGAATTGTACATGATTTTAGAGATTACACAGAGCTCCAGCAGGGTTAGGAGTCAGGCATGGAGCAGGTATATAAGGACACCCAGAAGAATTGGTCACTTACTTTTTCAAGAAGGCTTCCTTGCTTGTATTGTCCTATACTCATTAAAATGATAAACATGTCCCTCTCCTTCCCTCCATACTTTATTTTTAAATATAGGTAAATAGGACCCTACCCAGAACTTTGGATCATATTTATGACAGTCTATTTTCAAAATATGAAGAAGTTGAGTATTATATAATTGATGAAAACATTTCTTCATTAGTAACTTTAAAGATGAACATTCATCCAATTAAATATAGAAAATCTTTCAAGAATTGTGATTATCTAGCAGAAACATGGTGTCTACGTTGATCTTTAAAAATCTGGCCCTGCTCTGCCTTTCAGGAAGTTTAGTATTTCTCTCTTGCTCTGAAATTTTATAATAGAATAGTTTCCTTTTGATATAGTTTTGATTATTAAACCAAAGATTTTCTAAGACCTTAAGATTTATAGCCTAATCAAGTTAAACTTACCTGATTATCTAAAAGAATACTCTTTGCATTTTTAAATAGCTGTTTTTTAAAAAAAGCTTTTAATTACTCATTTCACAAAATTTTGTATTCAGATCTGTCTAAAGTTCTGGTTTTTTCAATATGTCCACATGAAATTATATGTTAAAAATCCAATATTAATGACTAATATTGACATTATTAAAATGGATTTTGATACTATATATTTGTAGCTAAAGCCTAGTAGAAGTCTACAGTATAAGTGAAATACATTTTCTAAGGGTGCCTGTCATTTGAAAGACCAAATAAACATTATGTACTAAGCAAATTAGCAGATTGTTAGAGATTTTAAGGAGCGTTATCTTGGTCATTCGACTGCAAATTCTTGTTATTTGTGTGAGATAACCCACATATTTGCTGTGATAGGTGTACTCTGGAAAAGTTACATGTAAATAGAACATTGTACAATGTTTTCTCATTGACCAAGTTATCTGATGTGTTTTCATTTTAAAAGAGGATTCTGTGATAAAATAAAAAATTTAAAAGAAAAAATGTTTTGATGAATTGTTATTCATGCCCTTTAAGTACAATACATTGTACTTAATCCTTGCTGCCATTTAAATAAGATGAAAGAACTAAGAACTCATGGGGCTTCATAGAATCTTACATTTTTGGCTCCGTGTGTTTGCATATTGCCTCACTTTTTCCCTATAAAATCAGGAACCGCTATTACCTCCCAGCAGATCTGAGGATTGTGCTTTCTCTAAAGTCCATAGCCACTTCCCTTCTCTGCAAATTCAGTACAAGCTGACTTTGCTCCTTTATTACTGGCCACTTTACGTTTGAATAGATTGAAAATATGGCACCCAAGAGAGCAGAGCACATGGATGTGCCAGAGATAACGCTTGTGTTTTCTCTCAGACAAGAGGCATGCAGTTTTGGGGTCTAAGCATTTATAGAACTGTCTTCACTCATAGCTGTCATTGATCATTGATGTTCCTAGATATTTCTCACTGAAAGATTTGCTTAGCAAACAAATTACTGATAATTATTTTTAAATTGAGAAAATCATAAAGATTTTTATATTGTCTCATATTTTACTCTGGTCATTCTTATGTCACATTGATTTTTCTGTACCTTAAGATTTCTCAGCTCCTTAAGACCTTCTCTGTAAAAGCTGAACAAATTGGGAAATTGTAATAACAAAACATTCATAACATTAATTTTGAACTCCAGTCTAATTATTTGAAGGACCCAAACTTAAGGATACATAGAAAAAAAGCCATTGCTGGCTTAGTAAGTAAGGTATAACTAAGTGTATTCGTTTCCTAAGGTTGCCGTAACAAAGTACCACCAAACAACAGAAATTTGTTAGCTTAAAACAACATAAATTTATTCTCACACAGTGCTTAAGGCTAGCAGTCTGAATTCAGGGTGTCAGCAGGGCTAGGCCCTCTCAGAAAGGGTCAAGGGGAAAAGACCCTTCCTTGTCTCTTCCGGCTTCTGGCAGCCATAGATATTACTTGGTTTGTGACAACATGACTCCAGTCTCTGCCACCATCTTCCCTCTGTGTCTATCTCTGTGTCTCTTCTCTTTTTATAAGGACACCAGCTATATTAGATTAAGCCCGACCATGTTTCAGTGTAGGAGTTCTGGTGGTGTATTGGATAAGGCACTTGACCACCAGCCGTTCCACGGAAGAAAGATGGGGCAATCTACTTCCATAAAGATTTACAGCCTCGGAAACCCAGTGGGGTCACTATGAGTTGGAAACAACTTGGTGGCAATGAGTTTGGTGGGTTTTTTTTTTTTTTTTTTTTAATGCTCCAGTATGACCTCATGTTAACTTATTGTATCTGAAGGCTCTATTCCCAAGTAGGAGCTCTGGTAGCATAGTGCCTAAAGCACTGGACTGCTAACCAGAGTTCTCTGCTAACCAGAGAGCTGGCACTTCAAACCCACAAACCCACCAGTAACTCCTCGGAAGAAAGATGGGGCAATCTACTTCTGTAGTGATACTGCCTCGGAAACCCAAGGAAGGGTCGCTAAGAGTCGGTCTGACTCCACGGCACATAACAACAACAACAATTCCCAAGTAAGTTCATATTCATAGGTACTAGGGGTTAGGACTTGAACATATATTTTTTGGGAGGGACACAAATCAACCTATAACACCAAGTATTTTAGAAAGCCTTTATTGACATAAAAGAATTTTACTTAGGACACCAGCCCTAGTGGTTAGTTAAGAATTAATTGTAACACTTAGGAACACTACTGGGCATGTTTTATTTACATAGCTGTAAACACATAGTTGTCACACACTTTTAAGATAATCAGATACCATTAGAGTCTAAATATATGAGGTTTTACTCTTCTACAAACTGTTAATATGTTTTAATTGATGCCTAAAATTTTCCTGTCAGATTTCATATCCCACATTTATACATTCAGAAAATAAAGTTTAAGAACATAAATTCTGAGTGCTTCTTGGTGCATATATATAACAATTTTTAGAAGTTTAAATTTCATCTACACTCCAAAAGAAAATAAGGTAAGTTTTTGATTCAGTTGCTTCAAGTCTTTGTATTTGTCTGCTTAAGAATTGTAAAAAAATAAATAAAATGTGTACACACAGCATAAAAACTTGTTATTTCAAGAAAGTGCTTGTTTTTTTCTTTCCGTCTTTTGGATGAATTATATTTGATTTTGGCTGTGTTGAAAACTTGACAATTACCTTTGTAGCAATGCATCATTCTTTGTCACATTATGTCATGTGTTTAAATACATATTTTTCATGCTAAAACATCCAAAACACTGTCAATTCAGACTTACAGTAGCCTATGTGACAGTAGGACTGCCTCATAGCGTTTCTAAGGCTGTAATCTTTACAGAAGCAGATTGTTATGTCTTTCTCCCTTGGGGTTCGAACCACTGACCTTTCTGTTGTTATGTGCTGTCAAGTCGGACCTGACTCATAGCGACCCCTCCTTGGGTTTCCGAGGCAGTATCACTACGGAAGTAGATTGACCTT